GAATACACATTCCCATTCCGAAAGGGAGGAATAGGGGCATAGTGAGGAAATACTGGACAAAAACAAGTCTGAAAACCAGAAGGGCAGATACCAAATCCAGTCCAACTTCTGGAACTTTACTTCCAAAGGGCTTAGATGGCTCAGCCTCTCCAGCTTTGCTGTGTGAAATATACATCTCTCTCATGGGCTGGTACCACTCCCTATATGCAGTTTTACTTGGCAGGTATCTCACAGGTCTGACATCACCAATGTCTTCTTGGGGTCTCCACTGCCAACTAGGCTTCACCTTCACAGCTTCATGTAATGACCTATCAGGGTCTTCTTTATGCAGAGACACCCCCACTGCATGCTGCCTGGTCTCAGTGGCTCTCTGAATCTGCGGAGGAAGAACCAATGATCCCTTCATTCTTGCATCATTCATGTCTCTAAAGCTAGCACCAGGTTAATGACACTGCCAAGTTTCGCTGCAAGTTTGGGAGGGACTCCAGCCTGCTTTATCCATTTTAGAAGCTTTTTCTAGTAGAAAACAACAGTAGCATTTTCCTTTCACAAGTTGGAGGCTTAGCTGGGTGTGGTCTTGCCCTAGAGGCAAGTGCAAATCTCTAGGCCTCTCCTTAATCACTTTAAGTACAAATCTCTAGGCCTCTCCTTAATCACTTTAATCTCCTTATCAAAGGGATCCTCTCCAGCACATGCCTTGGCTCTAACATTTATCTCTCTGGTGCTCTTTTTCAATCCAAACTGTACATTCTGTATTTCTGCCCAATTTGCCCCTTTTCACTGTAGATCTGCATAATATTCACCATTAATAACCACGCCACCATTTCTACATTAGGCTGTCTGGAGAACCTACTACTTCCATTTCTATAAACCAATACAATTTTTAACTGTATTCTAAATGCTTATCCTTAAGCCCGCAGATAAATGTAGCTTAATCCTTCATCAAAGAAATTCCTTTTTGTAACAGATGAAGATTATTATAGAAAGCCACAACTGGTCAAAATGCAGAACACAAGTGACTACGGGGTGCCCAGCCCCAATGAATAGATCTACAATGCAATCCCTACAACCTATAGCTCAGAAAAAATCCTGAAAGAGGAGGCAGAAAGGCTGTAACAGCAAGAAGAGCAGAACATCTACTGTTAGTGTCTTCCAGATGTGACAGGGAAGCTTCACTCATGAAATATCAAGAATATGGTTTTCTAAAAAAGAAACACATAATGACAACACCAATTGGCATGCTAATGTGGGTTGGGAAGTTTCACAAGCTCATACCTCTAGCTGAAGAGCTACAGGCAATCAATGACTGTTGGGAGAGGAAGAATAATCAGTTTTCTATGG